CTGGTATATGTTGGATCGTTGAGAAAAATAAACAATGTATTGTCGATTTAGTAAAATACAGTAATCAAAGTTAAGCTAATTTAGTGTATGTGCTACTAAAACTCATTCTGATTGGAACAGAGACTGATTTATATGTATTTACCAAGTCTGTATATGTAATGTACTAGTATGTTCAGTTATCTTTAAAATATAATACTAATATTAAATAATAATTATTATCACTACTTTTATTATGTACGTAGTTGAAGCTCGAATCCTTGGTTAAGTTCGATCAAAATTTAAGTGCTAACAAGAATTGATTTTTTTTATTTATAGCTGATTCGTTACTAGGGTAAATGAGAATTTCTTGTAAATAAGCAAATTGTCTGAAGAGCTCATACATAAGTTAGTATCGACTTCTCGGTTGTCACGTTTACTGAGCGCGCACGTGGCAGTAAAGGAATTGATTTTACAATCGTTCGTCCGTGAACCCGTTTCACTCAGTTTTTTGTAGGTTGAATACACATGCATGTATGTTGTCTCAAGAAATATTTTATAAATGTACCAACAGTTTTTAATGATACTTCGTCCATATTCATTTTGAGTGTATGAACGTAAAACACGTTTTTTTATATACAATATAGTATGAAACATTTGTGAACTTTCAAAGGCAATGTTGGACGTCTACAATACAGAATCAACACGTGCGTTACAAAACTGCAGCTGACACAGTAAAATAACTGCTAAAACATGTGTAAATCTGCTAACTGGAAGTGAATCCACGTCGTGTCGAACCCAATTTTGTGCCCATAGTAGCTAAGCAACCAGGAAACCCGAAACTCGCCTATAATAAATAAACGCTACTTCCCATAGCAAAATAAATAAAGGCTGCTACGTTTATCAGTGATTCATTTCACATTAGCAAATATAATTTCCGTAATACTTCAAAAGAGTTTGTAGATAGCTAAAACATGGTATTCATCTTCAATATAGGTCAAATTTCCTTCGAATGCAATAGTTACACACTTACCAAGTATATGCTGTCTAAATATTTAGTACATGGTCAGAACATCGAAATCAAAACAGCAATTGTAAATTTAAAAGAAGAGACGATTTTTTTCTGGTTTCAGTAGAGATTTGAAAATGTAGTATATCCGTCATGCAAAACGTGCATTATTTTTGCTTCGCGAGTGAAAAACACATGGTCAAAACACATTAATATTGAATGCCAAGTTAATTGATTTAATGTTCTGCTATTCTATATGGATATTTAATTAGGTTCATTTGTAAAATTGGGAACAAGTAATTTATACATTTCTAATATGAGGAAACAATCGCCATATATTTACTGGTATTGCTACACATGTTTTAAAGAAATTAAAGAGGCAGGCAGTTCGTTACGAACGCCATGGTTGGTTTGGAAGTCGGAGGAACTATAACCCCCCGAAGTCAAGATTAAATCTGTTGTGCAGAATAAAACATTCTCAATGTAATCCATATCTGCCGTTCACACACCGGCTGGTGGCAATCTTATCATTTATTCACAGCAATACGAGAAACAAAGCTTATATTGCATTTACTTGGTTGAGGTGGATATATAACCGGCGGCTGTGCATTATGATTCAAAGATACATTAAGGATGAACACACACGTATGCATATAGGACATCTCATGGGAATGTCGGATTTATTAAACGAGGGTAGTAATATATATTTGTTCATATCCTTTGAGGGACATAATTGAAAATTACTACAAGAGTTTAATACATCTGATATTCTATAGTCAGAAAATTTGACATTCTGTTTATCCCATGTATTTCCCAGCGTCTAATGGCTAACACAGGGATTGTAATTTGTAAACACGTATTTAAGACATCTGAGAGTGTTCTGGCCCATTTACATAAAAATCGTCGTTCATGAACACTGATTACCACTAAATTATTGCGATTAAAGTTTGTAACCATCACAATATTTAAGATTTCGGGATGCATTGTAACATAATTACTTATTTTGGAGTCAAATAATTCTTTGACTATTTCAGAATCCGTGGAAAAATTTTGGCCAAAATTTTAAGATTATCTTTTTTATTAGCTTAGAGAGTTGTCACTTCATTTTTC